GTTCATATGCAATACTTGTAAACAAAAGCACAAGGCTGAACCAAGGTATGATCATCATTAATTTATTTGTTACTTATCATTTCTGCTGCTACTGCTCATTATATTATCATTTCTTTTCCTTTGTTGTGCCTTATATAAAACTTGCATATTTAATAGGTGTAAATTTGATGTTGACCTCTCTGACGACACCGGAACAGTCACAACCACACTGTTTGGTGATTTAGCTGAGAAACTGCTAACGTTCACAGCAAAAGAAGCAATGGAGCATTATTTTTAGGTTTGCTCTTACCATGCCGCATCAATACATATCTATACATATGTGTGTGTGTGTGTATATATATATATATATATATTCTTTTGTTTTGTACCTTGGCAGAATATGGTGTTACTGCTTGAAATTCTGCATGAGGACCTAAAATCAAAAAGTTCCTTGCGTACATTAGACCTGCATAAGTTCCCTTGGCTGATGCAAATCAGCGCTTCACAATGGTATACTACAAAGAAGCTTCTCATGAACAAGTTTCTATTACAGACTCCAGTGAACAGACCTTTCCTTGTCCTTCATCAGGTTATAACCTCTACTTAAGCATCTTTGTTTTACAATGTGAATGAATAATTCTACAGATAAGAAGTGCTATTACATTTAATCTGTACTATAGACATATTTGTTTTTCTATGAAATAGCCAACTTACTGAGTCAGGTATAGTTACTGCTTTTCAATAGGCGGAACGTCTTCTTCTAAAGCTAAAGTTTGTCTTCTTAAAAAATTTGACGAGTCTGATGAAAGTAGGCAATTAAGCTCTGAAGCTCTTTTGAGCAGCTCCAGGAAAAAACCCAGACAAGATTAGAATGGTTCCCTTTCCAAACAAGCTACATTTTTTTGCCGCATTCGGTGCTATATGCCTTTTTTGTGTGGTGAAAGAAACCAAGTCTCAACATTTTTTGAGCACTGTCATGCTACTGATGTGCCTATGAAATGCTATGAAATATTCATACGGCTGAACTATGTATTTCTACACACTATTAAGCGTTGCCTGTTAATCTGCATGCCTTTTCCAACTTAATTTGAAAGTACCATAATCGCTATAATGTTTCCACATCATCCCGTACCATTCATGCTATTTGAAAGTAGCATTGATTGCCAACAACAAAACGTTTCGCCATTCAATATATTTATCAAAGCTTTTTCACTTTCCAGTTCATTTCTTCTGATATAATGTACCATGAATTAACTGTTAGCTGCAAACATCAAACCACATTGAACCTTTCCAAGACTACCTTTCTGCATTCATTACTGATCCTACAGCTGCTAGTTCAACCACTTTAAATAAATCCACTGGTTATCATATGCTATTACAGCCCAATTAATGCTACTTGTTCTTGTTATGAAGCCTCTATATATATATATGACAAGAACAACCTACTAAAATCTACAACCTTAAAAGCCTATTACAGTTATAATAACAAACAAGTATGGAGTTCTTTGAAAGTGTTAGATCCTCTAGTCTTCCACCAAATATTACCGGCAGCATGGAATGCTGTTTCTTCTTTATGAGTAACAGTTCTAAGCAGGTACTTTTGCTTCTATATAGTTTTGTTTTTCTCATGCAATGTAAATTCTTTAATGATAACCAAAGTGTTTTCAAAATAATTAGATATTCCCTACTTAGTTTCTGCTGCTTCTAAGAAACACCAACAACGTATGATAACTATTCGAGAAGGCTATAGAACATGGACTATCAGCATTTTAGAAACTTGGTTTGGAGAAGGATGGCAAGACTTCTACGAAAATAATATCATCCGTGAAGATGACACAATGTTCCTTCGGCATTCCGGAAACTTGTTGTTCAACGTGCTCCATTATTCAGCAACAAAAACGCATGACTACTTACCTTGGACTCATCCGTTACCTAGTTTGTTAGATACTTCAGAGCATGTTATCCTCAAAAGTTAGTTTTTCTCGTGCTTAAACACTTCCAGTTTTTTAGTATTATTCTTGTTTTATTTGCTAGTTTTGTACGCTTACCTTTTTTTATGAAACACGGAACAAAGAATGCAGTGTCAGAAAGTAGCATCGGCAATGAAACCAAATTTTGTTCAAGACATAGCTGGTGGTCTATCATTCTATGAGATCTTCACTCAGCAAAACCAATATAATTTTATGAGCTTCAGTTATCTCCTGTTTTATTTTTTCATTCATTACTTTCTTTCCCAGTAATCATTTTTTTTTCACTGAACAACAGAAAGTGCCCAAATTTGTATCCTTCTTCATACATGGTGACAAAACTCCTCTGATCACCCTAAGAACTGGAAACAAAACAATCACTTTTGGAATACGTCGGAGACAGCTTACAACTAATTGGAACACGTTTAAGTTTGAGCATCAGCTACAATTTGGTGATGCTTTAGTATTTATACCTGAAACAGAGTCCTGCTATACTGTCCTAATCTTCGACAAACGTAGAGTCGAAAAACTGTTTCCTTGGTACAATAAGTTCTGCATCTTCTCTGATACACCAACATGTAGAACATAGACAACTTGGTTTACATTTATTCTACGAGAAACGTTATCCTTCTTATATGTTCAGTAAACATATGAATGCCAACTTTTATTGTCCTTTCTTTTTTCCATACCAAATTTACCTTAGCAATTTATCTAAAACGTGCTGCAGATTTATTTCAACCATTCAGGACCATGCTTGCTTTTTTGTAAAAAGCTTTGAATAAATTTACAACCTCAACTATCACCGCTTCATTATTCTCATATCATATGCACCTTTATGAGGCTTTTTCACAGAGCCAAAATACCATTTTATCTTTAAATTCATGCTTTTATTAAGAACAGTATGCTTATTATGACTACGGTACGATTGAAATATATTGTAGTGTAAACCAGGGAAACTATCAACCAAAAGAATGTGTTGAGAAAATTGATGCCAAGTAAAAATATTATACATTTGTGTTAAGAAAATTGATGCGTTAATAAAATTGCAATCAGCTACATTTGTGTAAATATATTACTTGTAATTAATGTTCTTTAATTCTATTAATTACATCAAATTATTTTGCCTACAAACAGTTATCTTTTCACTTTAATTGCCTACAATTTTTTTATCTGTTACACTAAGGGTGGGCCAAATAATTAAGTTTATTATATTCTACCTTAATTATCTCCTTTTTAATTAATGCCAAGTTCTCCATATCGTTAATTTATAATTGCAATCCGCTGCTTACCAAATTTCATGTTACATGGTAAAAAATTAATTTCTACTAACCTTTGGATTCTTGATTCGGATGGCGGTGTTATTTGAAGTAATTGTTAGTTTATCCTTTTTTCCATCTTTATAATTATCTCCCCTACAACCACATAATTTATACACATCATACTGCAAATATAAATTATAGTACTTTATTAAATTCATACTCTGTATTGCTCATTGTGGGCATTACATTAATTCGCACGGTATATTTCTGCTAGTTTGGTCCAAATGGCACACAGGATTTGTCCACAATATCCTTTGTCCTACCCCCTAACATAAGAGAGGCAATTTCAGCTACCCTAGAGCTCAAAATCATCAGCAAACTGACTCCTTTCGATGGGAAAATTCTTCAAATGGGCTATTGAATTCCAAATCTGCCTATTATTTGTGTCATTCCATAGATAGGATGAATTCCTCTAGCATTGACAGTCTTCTTGACTGTTGCACCTGGGTGTGGAAAGTGAACACCTCAACCTCAGTCAAACATTTACTTTGTCTCATTTTCCTTAACAAACTATCCACAAAGTCCAAACTTAGCAAACAGAATGTTACCCTGATGACAATTACCCACTCTATAATCATCCTTCTGAGGATAATGAACATGTGTTTAAAACGTGCCATCATGCTCGCCTTTTATGGAACTAGGAGGTATAAACCGCGCCCCGCGCGGTGGCGATAAAAATGTGTATGCCCAATTTAGTATAAATAACTATGAAGTACAATATTAAAGATACATCTATATATACAAGAACATTACTATTATATGAAAGACAAAGAAACTGGAGTAAAAAAATGTAACACAAGACCAAAAGAATCAAGAGATTACTACTTGCGCACTTGGCTAACAATCTGCCAGCAATTAAAGTTTATAAAAGAAAAGAACCAATGTCTTGAAGAACAGGTTTAATTAAAATTCCAAAAAAAAAAAGCTCATGAATTGAAGTGGTTGCCTCTCCGGCAGGCAACTTTGAATCTCATCCAACAACCCTTTAACATAAGCCATTATTATTAAAATGAAAGAATCCATTGATATCCCGAAATCTTTTCCTTGTTTTTCAGGAATATCTCTTCTGGAAATGACTTCAGTCCCGGTAGACACATCACGAGGTCCAATCTCAATCCTTAGAGGTACTCCATGTAGAAAAGCTAGGTAAATTTCAAAGCACAATCGTATTACATTTAACTGTAAAATAGTATTTCTTGAGATCCACACACATAACTTCTTAATATGGAATTATTAATAGCAACAGTAGACGTTTCAAAATTGAAACTTCATTCCCTCTCAGAAAACAAAGCCAACAACAGTAAGTTGGCCTTCAATAGATATCACTTGACTTGTTAATTATTCAAGCTAGTCTTCAAAAAGTTTTGGTTGAGCAAATCGCAATTGGAACCTAACCACTCAGTTTTTTTTTCAAACTAATTTTAAACAATTACTCTAGATGCTCAAGTGAAGTGAAGTAAGGTGACAAGTCTTCAAAGTAACCAAGCTTTGGTGAGATAAATTAGAATCAACCTTCAGGAATCTTAAAGCTCCAAGGAAGTTAGTTTAGATGTAGTCCTGTGCTCGTTAACATTCTAAGAAAAAAAAATCATTTGAAATGCTTGTGGCCATGCATTTGGGATTTTCCTCTCCCTAAATTTCTCTTATTCTCACTCATGCTTTGGCGGGAGAAGTCCAATGGCAAGATAGATATTGGGCAAGATACAGAACATCTACAGAAGCAGGCAAACCTTCCATCTCCTAAAAGTTATATTTCCATCCAGGTGTTCTCTGATCAGAGTCATCAACCTTGACCTTTATTCCAGCTGCTTGCAGAGTTTCTTTCACTGATGATGTAGCATTAAGAACTCCAGTTCTATCACCTGTTTTTTTTTTTTCCATATTGGGACAATCACAAATCGAAAGCAGTCAATAATAGGAGCTATTCCATCTCAAGAAAGACAATTTTTAATGCACATAGCCAGAAAAATAATAGGAGCTATTCCATCTCAAGAAAGACAATTTTTAATGCACATAGCCAGAAAAATGGAAGCGCTACAAAAGCAGAGAGCTGTTACTTTACTGCACTGATGAGTCCAATTTCGGGACCAAAATCAAAACAAAAGTTGCAAAACTAATGTAAAATGCTAGAAATACAAACCTGCACACGTTTAGGAAACCAAATAATGATTTAAAAAAATCAGCTTTGCAAAAATTAATCAGCCCGTTGAGTTCAAAACACAGCATCCATCCCCAGCCCCTATTCACTTTATCGTTTGAGCAGACCCATTAGCAAATATAGTCAGTAAAACAACCAAAAACATGCAATAGGCTCAGAAACAATTAATCAGTCTCTGTTAGAAGAAGATTCTCCTCTCCATGCATGAGGGCTCATAAAACTCTTCTGCATGAGTTTTATGAGTTCAGAACAAAGCACAAAAGAGTTTTATTTTTTTTGGGCAGCCTTTTTTTTGGGACAACAAGACAAATATCAAAGGGCGGGGGACAAGAAATAAGAAAAAAATGTAGTAATTATGGTAGTTTAAAGTAAGGCTCATGTTTGTTAGTAAAAGTCAGGCAGAGATGAGAGTACCGCCATGGCTGCATACCCAATTGCATTTGAAGGGAAGAATGAACCTCAAATGCAATCAGGGTTGCCTTGCCAAGATACGGCAATCAATTTAAAGCCTGAAATACATCTAATAAAACCAAAACCATATCATCATAGCCTAACTGAGAACAAAATAAATTAGCCTGTTTACAACTTTCATCTGCCGTAATACTCCAGCCAGAGAGCTACACCCTTTTCCAAAAAAATCACCATCCATCTTTGTAAAAACCTAACAAGAAACAAAAGGAAACATGAAGAAATATTCAAATCCAAGGAAAAATGAAGAGAAAATTGCTCATGAATAGACACATTTATTCACAAACATCTATAATGTACTTCTAAAAGTAGTTTACAAGTTCTACAATCATCAATCTAACTAAAACAGAGCTCAAGGAATTAAAAAGATAAGAATACATACATAAAAAAAATTAGCAAACTTACTCAGTGAAGGAGAACGTAGCACAACAAAAGCACCAAAAATTTCCTAAAAAGAAAAACACATGTATTAAAAACAAGCAAATTAAACAATAAGCATAATATCAATCTAAATATTCCACAAGAAGAGAAAAATCACGCAATTCAAAAACTGTAAAAATTGCTCACTGTAAGAGTTGACAACAATATGGAGAATAGCATAGATAAAACAGAAATATATGATTTTAGTTGTATCAAGTCTAATAAAAAGAAAGAAAAAAATGTTGACGGTAGAAAGTGCTGAAAAAATAAGAAAATTTTGAACAGACCTGCAATGTATCTGGAAAGAAAAGATGATTGCTTGAAACCAGCACCAACAGAACTCGATAATGTTATTTTCTTGACAGTCATAGTCCATCCAGACAGAAAGCATATGAAAAAAGAAAATTTTTGCTCTATGGCCAGCTAAAAAAATAAAAAAGGAAGACAGACTCAGAGGCGTGGGAAAAGTCAATGCCACAAGCATCATTAAGAGCTTTAGAGGCCGAATGCGTAACACGAAAAAAATAAAAGTGAAATGCTTTGGAACGAACAAAAGAGGAGCAACGCAAAAAAAAGGGCATGCAAAACATAATATCTAGAGATAGGCAAAAAAAAAACAAATTAAATGCACGAGTCAAAAATTATCTAAAGAAGCAGATCCCTAGGTTTAAGGATTGGACTAAACGGCAACATAACAAGAACAGAGAATAAGAACAAAGCACAAAAGAGTTTTTTTTTTTTTTTTTTTTTTCTGGGACAGCCTTTTTTTAGGTAATACAAGACAAATATCAAAGGGCAAGGGACAAGAAGGAAGAAAAAAAAATCGAAACAGGCTAGAGACCAAAAAACACCACATGACAAAACGTACGACTACGCATGATGTACATGTTTTCGAGTTTGAAAGGGAGAACAACTAGAGCTTCCTGGAATGCAGACCAAAATCAAACCCATGTAGACTCAGACACCGGAACAACCAAACAAAAAGCAATGCAACGTGAAGAGAAACAATAAAAAAAACAACGAAAAAAGGGCAAGATCGTACCACACCCGATAGCGACAAAAGTGTAACATCGTCGATCGTGGTTTCTTTTTTATCAGCTTCTACTCTGAACTCGCTCGCAAATCCCTCTTTTTTCTCGCTTTATCAGCACTCTGCAGCAGAGACAAAGTTCAATGCTTTCCCCCTCCAAAACCCCAAAAAGTAAGGAAAAAAGAAATTATAGCTTCAATTCATCTTGAACTGGCAATGGTTTCAGCTCTGAGCTAAGGATTTTTCGTTCTAGATAGGGTTGTGTTTGGGGAGGGGGGGAGCTCAAACGGTAAAAAATTCCAAATAACAAAGAGGAAAGAGCACTTGAAGTCCTGAAAATGGGCATTTGCACTTCCAAACCCTCCCCGGAACCCAATCTTCATCAAGATTCCAAGCAAAACCCTATTCCAACCAAGGATAAAAATAACCCAGCACAGGTCAAGGATAAAGGTGGAAACTCCAGCAATAAGCAAGAAATCAGATGCAGAATCCGCTAAAAAATCTCCGCTTTTCCCCTTCTACAGCCCTAGTCCAGCGCATTATTTGATCTGTAAGAAGTCTCCGGCGAGATCTTCCGTGAATTCCACGTCCAAAAGGTTTTTTAAGCGACCGTTCCCTCCTCCGTCTCCAGCAAAGCACAATAAGGCAGTGTTAGCTAAGAGACACGGGTTTGTGAAGCCGAACGAGGCGTCTATATCGGAGGGGAATGAATCCGAAATGGTGGCGGCTTTGGATAAAAACTTTGGATTTTCTAAGCATTTTGGAAATAAGTATGAGCTGGGAGAAGAAATGGGAAGAGGGCATTTTGGGTATACTTGTAAAGCTAGGTTTAAGAAAGGGGAGTAGCAAAGGACGAAAATATCAACGGTAGGCTAAAACATACAGAGAAAAGTCACAACAAAGGCTCGAGAAGGGAAACAAAGAACAAAGAAAAAAAATCAATTTCAGGCTAAAGATCACGCAGAAAACCAACAGCAAAGTCTGCAGCTCACCGGAAAGGAAGAAAAGGAAGAAGAAGAAAACTCACAATGGAGGAAGAGGAACAAAACCAAACGTCTGGACCACTGCGCGGTGAGGATGAGAACGCGAGGGACCAAGGCTCGATGTCTCAACAGGTTAATGTACCAGGGCTTTAAACATCCGGATAAGCAAGAGAGCAACATTGCCCAAGAGAAGGAGAGAGAGAGAGAGGACAGGGAAGAAGGGGCATGTGATATTGCCAGATAGAGATACAAGTCTATCAACGCGACAGACAACCCAGCAAGAGGCACATGGGATGCTGACAGAGGAGAAAATGATAACCCGGCGCGCGAGGCGCGAACAACATAAAGCTCTCAATCACATGGGCGGCACGTGAGAGGACGACGAAAACCATCCAGGTCATCAGAGCTCTTCGCTCTTTATCTACTTATGTTGATAACTTATGTAGGAATTGTCCTTCCTTTCTGAACAGACTCAGAAATTTAAGATTTCATCTCTTGGATGAAGGAAGAATGCTTAGACTCAAACGCTTCCCATGTGGCAGACATGCCTTGGGGAACCTTATTTTCTTTTGGATACCAGGCTGGCTATTTGGGGAACCTTATTTTCTTTTCGATTCTTGTTCCTGGGGCTGGGAAATTTCTCCTTTGTTAGAAGAGAAGAATCTCTTATCCAGTGGAACCCCCCCCATCTCACCATTTTTTCAACCTAAATACAGATGGATCCTCTAAACTAAGGACTTCAGAATCTAGCGCGGAAGGACTAACTAGAGATTGCCAGGGAAATTGAGTTGTGGGTTTCTCCAGAAAACTTGGATCAGCTTCACCTTTGATAGCTGCTGAGTGTTAGGGCCTGAGAAATGGGATGCTGTTGCTGGCCAATTAAATATTTCTCATTTGAAAGTTGAATTAGACTCTCAGGTGTTAGTCAAAATTATTGAAGTCCAAACATCAGTCACTCACGAGTTGTACCCCTTGATATCTGATTCCAGGATGTTTCTGGAGCACTTCCAACAAGCTACCGTGAAGCATGACCACCGGGAAGCCAACCATTGTGTGGACACATTGGCAAAGAAGGGCGCCGAGCTTAATATTCTTTTTGTTTCTTATTCTTCATACCCCGCTTTTGTATCCCCTTTGTTTATGTTAGGTTAATCTATTCCTGGAATGACTGTAATCTATGACTCTTAAACTCGTTTCTATATTTCCTTTTTTAATATTAGTACTGCATCTTTCCTATCAAAAAAAATCTGCAAAAAGATAGACAACATCGAAAAAATGTTATGTAACAGAACATCTTTTTTCTTTTCCTTTTAAATTCTGTGCATCAGTAGCTAGTTTATAAGCTTCCTGAACTAAATTCCGATCTACTTCAATTAAAGTAACAAGATAGAAGGCTTGTTATGGTTATTGGATTTGGGTAGTTACGGTTTAAAGCAGCCTACAGGTCCGGAGGATTGTAGTTAGGGGTAGGCGCGAGTCGGGTACCGGTCCCATTCATCTTGCGGGTCAGCATGACCCGACTCGCATCTTGCAGGTCAACTATTTTCTGACCCTTACCCGCCCCGCATATCAGCGGATAGGGTACCCACTGAAATAGGGTCGGGTCAGCGGGTACCCGCCCCGCCCCATTTATCATTTAATTTTTAAACAAAAATGATTTATACCAATTTAATTTTATGTTTTACACATTCATACAAAATTTAATAATTTTTTTTTCTAAAAAAAGGTTTCCCACCAAGAAACAAGCATGTAAAGAGAATATAAGATAAAGGAAAAAAAATTAAAAGAATTCAAAATCAATAAAAGTTTGAAATAAGTAGCACAATTTTTAATATATATGTTCCACATTAATTAAACTTTTTTCTATAAAATATAAAATCATGACATCTACAAATGAATATTGTAAATAAACTATAGCCTCTCATATTTGTAATGCAATTTGTTCAATAAAATTACTTATTTAGTTCTAACTTATTATTTTATGGTGTGTGTATAAAAATAAAAATAAAAATAAAAAATATATATATGTGGGGCGGATCGGGTACCCATGGATTTTTAATTATGTGACCCTAACCCTCCCCGCATCTTAGCGGGTACCCTATCCTCTTTTGACTCGATCAAATAATAAAAATCGAATATCCTAATCGGATATGACGGGTTTTCGGGTTAGCAGATAATTTTGCCCACCCCTAATTGCAGTGGGAGTTAGAGATTGCATCAACTTTAGGACAGGGATAGAAGGAAAAAAATGAAGTCCTCTAGGGTCGATGGCTACACCTTATTTAAGTTCACTGTTCATCCACGTCTTTTGATTTAATGTGTTCTTTAAACAGGTACAAACACTTATTTTTGGTGTTTTAAGGAACTAGATAATGTTTTATTGTTTTTGTTTGTCCAATTCTCCCAAGAAAAAAAAATGAGGCATAAACATCACCAAATGGCCCAATAAAGAAACCAAGCAGACAAGATCAATGAACAATAAATTGCATGTGCACATAATAGCCCTAATACTGTAGATGAAGAATAAGCAACAACAAGCATTAAGAAAAACACAATAACAAGCATTTTTAACATATGCTGATAAAGAAACCAAGGACGTAGTTAAACTACATTAATTAATTAAAGTTTTACACACAACAGAGATTTTATGTATTTTGCTTTTTATCAAGATTTAAACACAACTCATAATTCATTTTAATCTAATTGGGAATACCAGCGCTTCCAAATGAATTAAGAAACCCATAGCTCAGCCGAATCTATCATTGGAAGTTGAAGTCAATATTTCAATGGACATTTTTGCATCTTTTAGAGGTACCATTAGTGATATCTTCAAGAAAAAACAAAAATAACCTAAAGTTATCTTCATCAAAAACATAGAAATAAGAGAAAGGATTTCTTCTTAATATATCCCATGAAAGAAAGTGAAGAAAGTGCATGCAAATTAAAAGAAAGAGAAAAAAATGGATGCATAGATTGAGTTCTTTCTTTAGTTCAAATTATCATGTTCTATTTCTTTAATTGCAAAAAGTAAAATTTTCACAAGTTGTAGACCATATCTGAAAAAAAAAATATTAAAGGACCTTCTCTTTTGTTTAACCAATAGGTCAAATGATACCAAAGTGGAACATTCAACTTATGAAAGTTTATAATCATCTTGCTCCTTCTACAACCCTTTAAAATTATAACATAAAAGACCTGTAATTTAGCAACAAAATACATGTTAGTGTATTTGCAACAAAAATTTACAAATGAGGTAAGAAAAAGGAAAGTCGAGATAGTCACGAAGCCTTGTGAAAATTAGGGACCTTAGTAATGAATTTGAGCAACGACTTTGCCATCCTAGAAATTTTGGCTAATGATTAATCAAATAACATGATTTCAAATGTTGTACCTCTTTTAATTAATAAAAAAAATAGACATAAGAACCAACAAATTATTGCTGAAGGAAAGTTAAGCATTTTTTACTAAATGCTAGTCTAATTGATATAGTTATAATTTTGCTCTAATCCCTTCCCTTTCTCCTTCCCTCTTGTAAGGGTTTGGAGTCTCTCCTTGAACAAAAAAAAATTATAATATTTGATACTGAAAATAGCATAAGCTATCTAATGATATCAAACTAACCACAATTAAAAACAATAGCATAATATTATTTATAGTGACATGTAGGGCAAATGATCATGGTTTTTAGTTTGATATGAAAACTGAGAGTAAGATACTTCAGCATGAAATCGATAGTGCTCATGTTGACTCAAATAAAAAGTCTATTGATTGCATCACTTGTTAAAAGATTTGAACAAAAGTTAGATAATTGATTAATTTAGAATCCTACCAAACTCACAATATCGGTGTTCATGCTAACCAAATTTAACTATGCACGTCCAATTAAAAAACATAAACAATGAAAAAAAATTTAAAACTAAGAAGTGCAATTCTAACTACGCAAATATGCTAAAACACCAAAAACAATTGAAGCAAACACTCAAGTATTGTCGCTAACCAGAGGTTTAATCAATCAAAGGGTTGAAACTAAAATTAGCAACACCAAAGTAAAAGCAAATTTCATATTATTCTCCAAAAATATCTAATTGAGAAAGCAAATCTAACACAACCAAAGAAGAAAAGAATACAATGTTAAGTAAATATTCACATAAAGATCAGGAAAAAATGAAAAACCATTGAAAAAAGTTTCGCTTAAAAAATTTGATTTCTTAACCATGCAAGAGAAAAAAAATCAAGACAAAGCATACATGATAAGTTCATTAGCTTCAAATTAACAAAAATTAATAAAGAAATAACTAACACAAGCAAAAGCAGCAAGAAAAATAAAGCAATCGAGGGCTCAAAAGTTGGGTATATCTAATATGTGTGTATATATAAGAAAAATGATTAACATCACATATCAATGAATTTTAGGATAATGATTGTTAATGCAATAGTTAGCAAAAAACAAGACATGCATAATAGTGGATATTATACGTACACATATTATATGAATTTTTTGCAAAAATACAATTAAAAGTTTGGCGCAAAAAATACACATGCGGTAAAATTACACATATAAATTTGTAGTGAATAATACACATATATTTGAAAGATATGGAACTAAAAATATGATTAAAATTACCATATTTTTTTCAAGATTATGCTACATTTATACCAATTTGAACTCTTATATATACTTGTGTTTGAGATATTAAATTTCTTAAAATTTTTATTGTGTTAGCAATCTTATATGTATAAATCTGCAAAACTATATATATATATATATATATGATATTTTGTATATAATTAGGAATATAAATCATCATGTGATATGCACTCAAATGTATCAAATTTAGTACTTAACAATTTATTAACTTAATGGATTCAAACTTTAGACTTTAGATTTCAATTTTCAATTTTCAAACTTCAGTTTTATCAAATACACCTTAAGAAGGCTTACACACCACTAACAATTTCCAGTAAGAGCAAAGTTTGTTAATGAGTATCATTTTTTGACTCAAAGCTTGGCTATATTTTTCATTTCAGTATATAAAAAAGTGTATATATATATATATATGCTTTTTTGTACAAAAAGGTATATATATATATATATATATATATAGTGTGGGTTTTTTGTACTTTCAATTTTACTTTTCTACTAGTTTTGCTAGTGCAGCCTACTGAAATTTTGAGTGCTAGAGGTGCAAATGCTGTATTTGGTGATACAAATGAACCTATAAAGAAAGGGAGGAGGCCTTATTATTTCATATATGCTATAGAAACATAGGATCTAGAAATTCAAAAGTGCATAGTCTTAGTTAACATGGAGCATATGGCTTCTTTTTGTCTAGAAATATCTTTTGTATTTTAATGTCATTCAGTACATATGTAGATAGAATATGTAGGTAGGAGGGTCATAATATGCTCTAGAATATTATGGGACAAGAATTGGTTAAAAGGTGATGTTCACGCATAGTTACTTGCAGATTTGAAGTATTTTATGCTCCTTTGTGGCAATGAATATTGTTGAATGAATATGTATAACTTACTTTCAATATATAGTTTTATGTCGTGTTATACAACTATCTTTCTTTTACAAAATTTTCCACAATCATAGCTCTTCAAGATTCCATTCTGCTCTATCTCCAATTTTCAGCTAAAGAATTATTTGTAGCCATCGCAAAAAACTGTTAGCATTTTCTGCCAATATCTAAAACTATTTCATTGTAAATACTTGAGAACAAGAAATACATGGGGCCCGTGTGTGTTTGGACAGCCAATTATTTGGCCAAATATATTTGCTGACATCACCATTACAATTTCCAATACACCTTTTTATTTTCCCAATTACCTTTTTATCTCACATACATCACATCACAAAAAGTGCTACAGTAAAAATATTTCAAATAACTTACAATCCAAACACATTGGAACCTTCTCAGTTCATTTCATAGACATCATCAACAACACAATTGAAATTACAAACACCATAAGACTACAAACAACTAAATCTTCATGTTTTTCACTTCATTTTTCAATTTTCAAATTCCAACAAATAGACCTCCATCGAAGTTCGAACGGCCTGAACCACCTAGAGCCTCAAAAACTAACCTAGCTGTTTGGCTCTTCTTGGCTCATCGAATTACATCAAAATTAAACGCTGCATTCATCCAGTTCACAGACAAAGTGTAACATGTCTCTTGATGGCTTTTCTGGATCAACACTTTTCACTATAATCTTCCACTGACAATCATAAAAGCTTGTACTGGTACCTCAGATCCCCTAATTCTACCGCCACCACCACAAGAGCTCGAAGAAGACATTTTAAATTTCTATCTACTTTACTTTAGTAATGCAACATGATATGGTGGCAATTAAATCCCAATAACCAATAGCAGCAATTAATTCAACATAAGAGAAGGAAAGTTCTTACATTTAACTTCAAGTGCACACAACGTAAACCACAAATTCGAGTTCAATCCAAAATGTTTTTCTTCTGGTCTCTTTTTTATTTTTCAGCAAGAGTATAGCGACTTTGGAGCAAAAGTTTTCATTCAGGTGCTTTTAACTCAAATGCAAGGGTATATTATTTGTATATTAAAAATCTATTTTTTTAACAACCTTAGGGCTTGTTTGGTAGATGAGTTTTGGTCAAATTTGTCTCCTACCATTTTTTAATAATTTTAGTTATAGTAACCGTAAAAAATTTCTCAAAATTTTAAACTACCAACTTTAAAATACCCAAAACACACAAAAAATTTTCCTTTCCTCCTTTTTTCTTCCACCTCAAGCCACCACCACCTCCGCCGCCGCCGGTTCCAATGCTGGCAACCTTTTCTGGCACTGGCGACAACCTTTTTTTTTTTTTCTCTCTTTCTCTTCTTCCTCTCCCTCTCCTCCTCCTCCCCCTCTCCCTACCCTGCCACCCTCCCTCTCGCCCTCTGTCCGATCTAGTCACGGGACCAGATCGCATGCGATCAGATTGTGGCTCGCGACCAAATTGTAGCTGTGATCTGGTCAGGGGGAGAGTGATGGTGGCGGAGGAGGGAGAGGGGGAGGGGTAGGAAGAGGTGGTAGGGGAGGGGGAAGGAGAGGAGAGGGGGAGAGGGAGACGAGGGGGAGAGACAAAGCAAAAAAAAAAAGTTTGTTTATGTTGTTGTAACTTTTGGTGGGTGAGGGAGGGGAAGGGGGAGAGGGGGAAAGAAAAAGCAAAATAAATTTTTTTTTTTGTTTTTGTTGATGAAACTTCTGATGGGGGAGGGAAAGGGGGAGGGGTTAGAGGAGGAGAGGAGAGGGAGAGGGAGAGGGAGAGGGAGAAGGGGGGAGAGAAAGAGAAAAAAAGATTTGTTTCTGTTGCTGGAACTTTCCGTGGGGGGAGGGGGAAAGGAGAAGAACAAGCGAGGAAAGAAAAGAAAAAAAAAGTAAAGAACAAAAATTTTTCTTCTTAAACATTTTTTATACAAATTTTACATTAAGTTAGCCTTGTTTGGAAGTCAAGTTTTTACCAAGTTTGTCTGCTACAAGTTTTTTAAAAACTTTTAGTTACAGTAACCTCAAAAAACTTTTCAAAATTTTTAAACTTTGCACTTCAAAATATTAAAAAAACACACTTCAAAAAATTTTTTAAAAACTTTTATAGTAAGGTACAGTAAAATTTTAGACAAATACCAATAAAATTCACTTGCCAAACGGGATAAGTTTTAGACGAACAACTAAAAAATTCATTTACCAAACAGAGCCTAGTCTCAGTGCGTATGATACAAATCTCTTTACTTTTGACAATTTATATCAATTTTGCAAAGTGGTTTAAACTATGAGGCGTTAAAATGTCGGTTTCAAGAATACCGGGAATTAAATAGGATAAAGTTAAACCATAGGGGTCTTTTTCGTATTTTATTTTTTGATCATTTCATCTGCAACCAGATTTATTTATATATCCCTTGTGTAACTCTGCCACTCCTACTGACGATCTATCCTCTGTCTCTCTCAAACTCTACAAAAACCATTATTATTTTTTTTAAAATTAATCCTCAAAACGATAATAATTAAAATTCAAAATGCCACCACCGAAAAAACCCTCTCGCGGCTTCTCATTCTTCGGCATCGCAGCTGGCGGCGGAGGTGGCGGAGCCGGAGACAATGGTAAAACCGACGATCCACCGAAGCTGAACTTGGAGGCCGATAGGGAAGTGTACCGACCTGGTGATCTAGTCAACATTACAGTTGAAATCAAGAACCCAAAGGCGTTGTTTTCGCTTCTGATCGAAAAACTTAGCTTCGAAATCAAAGGGGTCGAGAAATTGGATACTAATTGGTTCAGTACTCCTAAGCCTTCCCCTGATTCTAAGCAGCGTCGAGGTATAATTTGTTATTTCCCTGTTACTTCTTAATATTTGTAGTTTATTGTGGAATTATGGTGTATTTTTTGCTTTACTTTTTTGAGCATTACTTAATGTACTGAACTGATAATGTGCTGGGGCTCATGGTGATATTGCTTTAATAATAAATTTAAGCAATGTGCATTAAAGTTATGAATTTCATTCGGATTTTAGGTTTGGAGATGGGGAAAACGTTGTTGATCTTGGAAATGGTCTTGCATTTTGTTGAACTTGTAAAATACAAAATGGAGAAATATAGAGGAATTATAGGACAATTTATCAAGTTTATGTTTCCTTTTTCCCTCGTTTTACAAAAGTTACAAATTTTGAAGGAACCGAAAAAACTGGCGGGAAGACTAATGACCATTTTGAATTAATGCGCGTTCTCTTTTGATTAAAATCAGCTGTTTATGGCATTTTCAAGCTCAGACCTGTGGTTGAGGTTTTCTTGTTTTCATTTGTTGAGAAACAGCACTTGAAGTGCATTTGAGGACAGCTTTGAGCTTTTTAAGAATTTGGAAAATAGAACACAATGTAACCATGTAGCTTTTGGAAATATTTTTCTTTTAACTACTGTTTATTCTTTCGTTGTTTCGTTCATTGATTCTTTTTAAACTACTCTTTTGGACTTTGAGGACATTGGTCTTGCATTTCTTACAGGTGGTAATGATGTATAATAAGTTGACAAGAGATGTAATTGGTCCTTTTATATCAGCTCAGTTTTGATTCTGTAATTGCGAGTTAGTGTGTTATGGAATTTTATTTGACACCTTGTTTAGGCTCAATATAAGCAAAGCCATCACTAGACAAAGTGCTTTCACATATTGCATGGACTCATCGCTATTGGCATCATCTCTTTACTTATTTATTACATATTCTAATACTTTTAAGTTGGCCCTTGATCTGACGGACTTAGGTGTTTTAGCACTTAAGTTTGTGACTGCAGAATTACTGCAAAAGATGAAGCTAATCATGTCGTTTAATTTCATTTCCTGAAATAATTTGAATATCCTGATCCCTTGCTTGCCAGGAGAATATACTTTCATGGACTGGTTCACACCTACTATAGTTTCAAATCAAATCATTGCAGCTGGGGCAACCAAGAGATGTAAGGCTATGTTACTTATCGCATGGTTCTCTTGGTGATACTGATTCATTTACTGGCCAAAATTACTCTGGGGGCATCTTGCATGTTCAGCCATGAAAGGACCAGTGACAGTCTAAATGTCACAAAATTTCTATCGTTCATCTGCTTTTTCTGATAATCTTTCTTAAAGTCTGACACTTTTAACTGCTAATTGGTATTGGCCTTCTTCTATAAGGGGTAAAACTTTCCCTGAAGCACTATTATATGTTTGTGTGACATTCCTTTCCTTATCGTCTATGCACTATCTCATTTTTTAAATGACACCGTATAACCATTTGCCATTTGTCACTTGGTGATTTTTCTGATTCTGCTATTCTTTCTTATAAAGAAATGATTTTTAGGTCAGTACAAGTCAAGGTAGTTATGTCCTGAGGTGGAAGAAATTGGTATTACTTGTATATTGGTTGGTGTCTTTGAAGTTGTATATTCAATTCATGTGTAGGTAAATAGTGTCTAAGGGATTCCACATCACCTATGTTCATAAACACAAAATACTTCCGATTGTCATGTTTAATCTAGCTAGTTTTGATCAAAAGTATTTTACAAATTTCCTCCCCAAAACAGATCTGCCACCTCGAAGATGTCAAACAAGGTCCATCTAGAGCATCTGAAACCTAGGATTAGAAAACTTCTGCTTCATGGAAAGGTACTTTTATTGTATGAAGTCTTTTGGATTCTTAAAGTGGGTTTTGGTGTTCTCAAATCATGACTAAGGAGAAATGATTAATAGTTCTTAATATAATGATCAAGGAGCTAAGGTATTTGGTGCCTTATTTGGAATTTTGACGAAGAAATTGTACAGTGGTTTTCTAATCCTTTTGCAAAATGTTGTCAGTGAATTAGGAGTTCTTAGAACAGAACTTTCAGTTTCTTACCATGATTGATATGCAGTTGGTGTTTTTTGGCTATTAATCCCTTTTAAGCATAGTTTAACTTTTGAATGCTGCTTTCGTTTACAGATGTTGTGCGAACGATTCTACCTAACATTATTCCACCCTCATATAGAGGTGCAACAATTCGTTACTTATACTATGCAAGAAGCACGTTATTTGGGAAGTACTTGATATTGGAGAATGGTCCCTCTGCTACAGAGTCAATACAAGACCTTCCTGAGATGGTTTGTTTTTCTTACCCCTTGGATTATCGGTGGCTTTTAATTTATAATGAACTGGAAATTTGCTAAGGCACGTATAATTGCATCTTTCTGGTTCTTACCTTGCTCAATGGATATCTATATTCCAATATTTGTTGATATGTATTTAGATTGTCCGAGTGCCTTCATTTCCCCTTGCTTGAGATTTAACTTTTACAGTTCTCCTTGAGAATTAGGCATGAGACAAGCACTAGTATGCAGTAATTGATTCTCATTCATTTTGAGTACCTAGGGGTAAAATATGAATAAATAATATGAATTGAGAAAACACCTATATCTTCTGATTGATGGTTGCATCACTTAAGGGTTAATAAGTTTATTTTGTTCAAAATCTGGTAGAAATGAAATTATTGTTTATTCAGAGGATGAGTGATATGCCTACATGCCCTCAGCCAAAATTTCAAATAATAGTCCTAGGTTCAACTGAAGGCTTTTCAAATTTTCTTAGAGCATATCTGAGGCCTTTTGCACGTCATTTGATCTGTATCTACCCTATACACTGGTAATCCTTTTCTATTCAATAAAGCATGAAATAAATGGTATCTTGTGCTTTTCCAGGATTATAGAAGTTCAATAGATTTAAATTGTGATTTTTTTGTTTTAATTCTAAAAGGACATTCTTTCCCCAATATTGAACTGCCTTATGATATTTGGGCTAGCATATGCATGTAACAATCATGGTCAATTTATTTGAAATACTAGTATTAGATAAGGTTTGCTTCCTCATGTATGAGTATGAAATTGTGGGGAATTAAATATACTTTTAAATGTAAGAAGCACCCAAATCAAGTCAAGCAAAACGAAAGTGCTGCTGAAAGCTTTGATGTCCAAACCTCTCTTATCTTAGATGCCTTTGTGCGCAATGGCAATTGGTGAGTCTAAGTAGAATGCCTCACACTGGTAGTATTAGTGCTTATATGTTGAAAACTACAGATACTACCTTTTTTTCAATTTAAGATGTGCATTTAAATACACTGGTAGTATTAGTGCTACAACAGGTCTTCTTTTCATATACGTTGCTAAATTTGAGAATCTAATTTCGTAATCAAGGTAAATTGTACAGAACTATAGACAAGTCAAAGGCCTTAAAGAAAAACATTTGCCTCTATAAGCATTTTAGTCAATATCCCAAATACTATGGAAAATCAGTTAATGAACCTTGGCTGCCTGTGAGATAGCCATCTTGCATCATGCTTTGCAGAATGCTTTCTGCATATCCTAAATGGTTTGGTAGTTGTAACTTGCATATGGTTTTGCATATGTATTACGAGATTGGTTCGGGCTAAAATTATTTTAATGCATGTTCTGATTATTACCTTAAAAATAAATATCATATTGTAATAGTCGATGTGTGAATTTTCCATCAATTCTGGCGTTTTTCTTTAGACTATTTTCTGAGAAACTTAATGTCTGCAGGAAGCCCGGATACCGTTGCAGATATGGGTTACTCAGAAAACCAATGGTTTACTGAGTGAAGGGGGTTATAATGATGGTAAGCCTTTTTATATGTCCCATTTGTTTTCTGGCTACTCTGTCATCTAATCTTGTTGCTTTTACTGGTTTTTCTTCTTGGTTTTTATATCTTTTTGTTTTTTGGTTATAAAATCTATGAATCTATGCTTAGCATCTAAAGGCTATTTCATAACATTTGTGGATATAAATCATCTGATGCTGAGAAAGTTTCAGAATACGAATTTCTATCATTTGCCACACTTTCCTTTATTCAACTAGACAATTCTAAGGTTCCCTGTCAGATCTTAGATATTTTTCTGCCTATTTGACATATCATTGGTCAACTGATGTTCGAGATGTTCACCCACCCTTTTGTTCTTAAACATTTCTTATTATGAGAATGATTCTCTACCTAGGAATTCTCAATAGTTCATGAAATGAGTACCACATGTTGCAGCATTGTTTATTTACATAATAGTCTCTGGCATCATTCTAAGAATGTCCGCTGATGCATTCTGTTGTAGGTTTGATGTTATGGATGGAAAACAGACACAAGAAGGAATGACAGTTAATAGTGCTAAGCATTTTGATGCTTCATTTAGTCTCCATTGATGGATAACTACTTTCTTAGTTCAAGAAAACTGCATCATGGTGTATCAGAAATTTGTCGTTTGATTGATGCACTATGTGTAAACTCTTGAAGTATATTGATGTATTGTCTTGTCGTTCAAGTCTGAATGAAGCAGGAACTAATGCAATTAATTGTTGAGCTAGGTTTTATTGAAACTGTTGCACTATGTGGTTGTCTGCTTAGTCTAACTAAAAAATCTGTAGTATGTTCGACTTGACTAGATAGGATAACTGATTATTTATGGGTTCTTTAAAGATTTTCATGGTAAAGTGGGTATTGGTGAGGTTTCTTAGTTTTTATATGATATTAGGTCAATAAATCAGAGCCATTTCAATCAATGTATTATGAACAAGGAAGATCTTCCCTGACTAAGGAATGATACCTGATTTTGATGAATGTTTAAAAGTAAAATTAAACAGGGAGAATAACAGATGGGGGATGTGCAAAGAAAATGGAAAGATTTTGGATGGTTGGTCATGGCTTTATTTTAACTCGACCTTTTGTTACATTATCTGCTACCTGTAATATGTAGGGTTTGTGAGAGAAATTAATTGTAAGTACCTCATAGTTATTTCATTTATGCTCAAAAGAACTTATGCAACATCAGTTGCCGAGTGCGCTGGATTATGAATATTAGAATTTAGGACTAGCCATGTGAAATTTCCAATGATGAAAGATCATACTCAAGTGTCAGTCATCTGTCCAAAACATATTCCATAAACTGGGCAGCCTGTTTCCTTTGGTAATTAAAATGTAAGAATGGGGATTTTCGACTGTTGCCATTTTGTCTGTAGGTAATTTTTGAGGTGTAGATTAATATATTGAATTTGGCTGTATGCTTTTCTGCAGCAAAGATGGAGACCTTTTGATCTTAAGTATATTGTCCAGTGGCCTCTTGGCTAGACGATTTAAAACTCCATTTTCTTGAATTGTTTGAATGTCAGTTGTTTCACCTCCTATGTAGTGTTGCTTTGTCATGTCAAGGAGTTTTTGGTTTGTGGTGTATTGATGTAGATGCATTTAGATATATCTAAATATCCAGTGTTTCTTTGGGCAGAAAACTTATGGGTCAAGAAGAATTTAATAGCAATTGATGAATGACCATCTTATGGGTTGTTTCCATTGTGATGCCTAGATGTAGATGAATTCCAATGAATGTATGTACAACTGTGTTCTATTTCTGGTTGGAAGATTCTATATTGCTCAGTAAGTGGTATGATATGTATTACTGGTAGGGGAAGAAGAGGGTGAGGCAAAAGGTGTTGCCAAATATTTTGATTACAAAAGATATGGGAGTTCTTGTGTTTATAGAGTTATCTCTGTCTCAGTTTGATGGAGAAAGATACTTCTTTTTTACGCAATTTTATGCTGAATAATTTATACTGTTTTATTGCATCTGCTCCAGGCTTGGTTACTAGTCATGTGGGTATGGGGTACCTTTATTGTTCTGCAGAGCTTGTTTCTTTTATTTTATTTTTGTGTGCTGTGAGAAAGTTAAGAAGTAAGATAATTGTGTTTTTCTTTTCTTTTTGTTTTTCCTTTTTTTTGCAGGTATTGTTCCTGCAACTTCTGTTCTCTTGGATGTGTATTGGAAAGAGGTGGATGGAGATGCTGAATGGGTAAAGTAACATAAAAATGCTACTTTCCATTCTTTAAAGAAATGTTTGTTTGTCCTCCTTTTGAGAGCTATAGCTTTTCTTTCGTATAGACTAGGGCAAATGAAAGTTTTGATGGAGTGGAGGAAGGATATGAAAGTTCGAGGGATGAAGTTTTATCACTTTCTTCCTACAACCCCATTAAAGAAGACATTCACCGAGCTTTTGGGAGTTCCTTGTCACTGCAGTCAACTCTTGCAAGGTCTTCCAGTAAAGACTTATCAAATCTAGAAGGACATGCAAGCATATCTTCGAATCTTGCATTACCTCGAGTAGCAGTGGCTGAAGTCTTGCACGATAATAGTGATGGTAAAATGTTTGTCTAGGTCTACAAGTTGTTTAAAATTCTGCACCTGATGTTTTGAAAATTTTGCATACTATCAGGATAAAGTTTAGAATATCATCTAAGTATACTCTCTTGGCCTATGTGTATTTTAACTCTTGAGTTGACTGAGTTGCTTTATTTGCCATGTCTTTATTTATGTGAGCAGGAGTCTTGTCCCCCAGCAAGTCCGATGATACTACCTTCCAAAGTCGACTGCGGATACACACAAGATCCCTTTCCTTAGATGATGAAACAAGAGTACCATCTGCCCCTGGAACTGTTGAATCTGGAGCATGTAAATCCACATGCTTTGTAATCTTGTATACATCTTTTAGCAGTGATTTTTTTTTCTGCTTGTTTTGACTCATTTAATACATTAATCTCAAATCTAATTAGCTGCTAAACTTTTCCGCAGCAGAAGGGTTTGTTCGAGGAAGATCTTATAATATCAGATTGGATGACCAAGTTCTACTAAGATTTTCTCCAAAGAACTCTGACTCTACTTATTACTTCAGTGATATGGTATAAAGCTATATCTAGATGCTTGTGCACATTAATGTTTTTAATTTTGATTTCCTTTACCTCCTTTTTGTCATCAGATAGGTGGAACTCTAACTTTTTTTCATGAAGGAGGAGCTAGAAGATGCCTTGAGGTTTGTGCCCATGTCAGACTAATTATTAGTGAATAGTCATATTATGTTGATTTATTCTTCTTTAACCCGTATGGTATGGAACTGACCAGCCTCACTGGTGCTTTTCAGCTTTCTGTTACTCTGGAGATGACAGAGACTATAAGTAGGCGCTTTGTCCATCCATCTAGGAAACATTCTCCAACTATTACCAAGGTTACATTAACTGATTCTTAAGTAATTGACACTATCATAACTGTTACAGGCTGCCATAGCTGCTGCATGTTGTGTACTAATTTTTAGTTGATTTGAGGTTGGTTAAACCCTCAGATTCTGTAGTTAGAAGGTCACTGATACTCATTCTGGTTTTGGAGATCTTAACTTACTTTATTTAGTTAAGGGAAAGAAGAATAAAGTTTATGTGAATTATGATATCACAGCAACTGTTATTTAGGTTTTTAGAAATGGTGTTGGAAGTTGAGAACATAGTGAATTTAATGCCTTATTCTGAAAGTTCTTAGGAAAATGACATATGGTTCACTTTATATTTTGGAATAAGGCATAATGTTCCACCTTTTCCTTTCAGTTTCTGTTTGTGTTTTAGTTGTCGTTCCTTTTGTTAAGGGCTAATCTGGTGTGCCTCTGATACTTTGAATGCCTTTGGCTTGGTTGTTATAAATAAAATTATCAAAGGAATAGAGAAATAGCAATGAAGATGTTGAGGACAGGTGCATCTTTTAATACTTGGATGCAATTTGTTTTTTTTTTTTTTGGGTACCACAAAAATGGAATCCAATGTTATATGCTGTCCTAAATATTCTTACAATTTTTTTTTGCCTATTGTGCAGGTCCACAGTGATCACCATGAGGTTGTTGCAGATCTAGTGCAGACAAGCTTTTTATTTTCCATTCCCATGGATGGGCCTATGTCTTTTTCCACTCGTTATGTGTCTATACAATGGGCTTTGCGGTTCGAATTCCTTACCACACCTAAGAATGTCGACTGGACCAGGTATAATTGCCTATGTGCAGCACAAATTCCACGTACCACAATTTGATATTTATCTTGATTTGGACATAAATTAATTTAGAATGCTAACAACGCTAGAAGATTTGTAGTGGAATGATGGTACAATGATATGTTTACCTGGTTTTGAAAATGGAATTTTTGGAATGGAATGATATGTTTACCTGACAAATACTCTTTAATGTGTGATATTTGTCTTGACAAGAAAAAACACACACACACAGGTACATCAACATGAGAAATAAAGAAACAATGGAAAACTTTTGGTTGATGATAACTTTATGGACTTATTTGGCTTTTTATGTAGAAGACATAGTGCCATGCAAAAGGCTATACTACTTCAAGAAAACTATTGCTGAAAAGAGTTTCCTCTAAAATAAGGAATCTGGGCCTTAACCTCAGATTATAACATCTTAACATAGGTGGTGCTTGTGCCGTATATTCCATTCTCACTTCTTGAACTGTAGTTTCTTCAAAAAAACTTGGATAAGCTATTTCCTCAACTTCTTTTGAGGTTGAAGTCAGGGGAAAGTGAGTTGTTGATTTGACTTCTAGGTCTTATCAAGCTGCAGAAAGTTTATTTGCCAACTGTAAAATAGGCAGTGAAAAAAATGACTGAGATGAACTGCACTTCTGAAGATGAACAATGTAGCTTTCATGCATAATTTAATGCTGTGGGTATTTTCTCTTACGAGTAATGTTCTTACTTCTTTGTCTCCTGGGAGAATTAAAATCCTCAAGCTTTATGTGGTTGACTGCCTCTTGGCTTTTAAGTGCAGTTGTTTAGAATGTATACTGTTGTGCAAATAAAACAAAGAGGATAGTGAACTGTGATGTTGGCTTTATAATATTTGCTAATTGTGATGGACATGGGATTTTTGTTGGCTCCTTGGTGGTCATTTTAAGTGTTTGTCTTATTTTTAATTCTTTAGACATCAAGAAAATAAAGTTTCTGACGAAATTGGAAGCTTTGGCATTCTCTTCTAGGGGTGTCTCTTGGATATTTTAGTGTTTTCTCTTGCAGTTGTGTATGTTTGCATTATTTTAAAGAGCTTATGAATCTCGAATTGTTTTCCAACTTTGCCGTAGAATTGATAGCTTTTTTGCGCATTTGTTCTTTTGGATATGGAAAGTAGAGAAAAGGTTGCACCATAAAGCCATTAAAGATAATAGAGTTAATGCACTGCATTTTTTAAGCAGTGTTGTCTAAAACAGATGGTACATGCCTTAGATTGAGGGAAACTGTAATGGGTTTTGAAGTATCAAGTCCAGTTGATAATGTTGTTAAACTCACGTCTTATGGGGATAATTTTTAGTGGTACATATTTAGTTTATGTAGAGAAGTAGAAAATTAAAAATAAAACCAAGTTCTGTTTACCTATGAAACTCCATATGCCCAATTGGAAGTAACAGACAGATGCAAAACATTAAATGTGAGCAATGTGAAAGAACACACATGTTTGAAACTCCATAGTATTAGTTAACCGAGTTTCCTCGAGATAAGTTTTGTTTGCCAGTTCTTGGTCTGGTTTTGAACAGGTACATTTGTTAATATGTTTTAAAGTGTATTTTGGCATTTTTCCTTTTCTTCTGGTGGTAGAGATTTATGGTTGTTTCAGAGCCTTTGTTTCTGTTAGTCTTAAAATTAATTATGGGTAATTGGATATTGAAATGACCGCTCGAAAACTTCAATGTTTTCCTTTCTCAGGTTTGAAAAGCCAAAATCTGTTTCTAGAAGCATTTCAGGGGCTACATCTGACAATCATGATTTTCAACATTTTACATAAGTCAAACAGAATTATATAACAGCACCTAAATGTGCCACACACAGACACACAAGCACCAAAAAAAAAAGAAAAAAAAAATAATAATAAGACCACCTGTAAGCAGCTTGCCGCCTAGGAGGTGCTATCAACTGATTGTAAGCAAATGAGTGCTATTCTTGCCTTCACATTTTATTGAGTGCTTATGCAGTTATATTTCCTTGTGTGTCTAAATCATTCTTAGTATTTCCTTTGATTGGTTTGAACTTGCTGTGTTGAAACTACTGCTTCGTGTCAGATATGAGCATCCACTTCTGATAGAGGGAAGAGACAAATGTGAGTGGCTTCTTCCAATAACTGTCCATGCACCTCCCCTTGGGGCTGCTGCAACTCAAATCCGAAGTGAGAAGCCATTTTCTCTGGAACCTTTGTGGGTTCGTACCTGAAGGTGAATTGAACCCTCAAGAATCCTACTTAAAACTGTTGTGATCAATTTCTTTTTTCCGCACCACGAAACTTAAAAAAAAAAAAAATTTCTTTTGTAGCAATTATCTGGGTCTCATAATGCATGAATGCTCTCGTGCATGGAAGGAAACAAATAGTCGTAAATGAAGAAACTCTAGAATGTTTGATGCATTTATCTGACCATTCCTTTGTGCATTCTCTGTTTTAATCTGGATATCGAAGGATTAGAACAGAATCTGAATGATATGTTATAACTTAAACTTGGTAGCAGGCGATAAGAAGTCAGGAACAAAGATACTTAATGAATAAAAGAACCAGTGGGGAATGTCATTAATAGGCAAGAGTTGTCATGGACTCAGGTCATGTGGGAAAGTGACACCAAAGCCTAGTTACTTAATGCATGTTAAAGAACAAAATTAGGACATAAAATCCAGAAGATGAATAGCTGTTTATTGCAATTTTGACTCCTAAAGAATGAACTAAACTGTACATCACCAATGAGATAACTTTGTGGTATTCATTGCCGTTATGCTTTTATCCAGGTAGTCTTGCAGCAATAGGTTTGAAGTTACTTGAGCTCATAGTATACAGTTGCCGAGCTAATTCTAGAGTTTGCTTCGTAGCTATTGTAATGAGACCTTGCTGAAACTACGATTCTGAGTCAGTACATGCTGCATTTATTAGTGCATTCTTTTAAGACTGCTGATTTATGCAACTAATAGCTTACAATGTCTAGATGCTTATTGATTTTGTGTTTTGGAGAGATGTTGACAGCATTTCTTTTGCAGAATCGGTGAGAACGTTAACCAGGTTTTGTGACATTCAGTATTCTGAAAGCTTCAGATTTTTCTCAAGCATTGTTGTACTCAATAGCTAGGTTTTGCGATTCCTTTTCACTCAATATTGATCTCAAGTACATCTTCAATTTTTTGTATTCTAACATCAGAGTAAATGTTAGCCGCCTCTCCAGCGGTCTTATATTTTTTTATTAGGGATACGGTAAAAGTTGTCTCCATGTTCTCCCGCTTGTATATCAATAAAATGTACCGCTTTAACAGTGAAATCTACTACTTGAGCAATGTTGGTGAACTTGTTATCGAGTGTAATGCCGAAATTGTCTCAAACCCATCGACTTCTTGTGGTCTTATGTGCGATAGCTTATTGAATGTCCTCCGGCTTCGCCCTTGGAAGTAGTAGGTAATGAATGGCTTATGTACAAGTATTCTTAAAAATTTGGACGAATGAGTTTTGGGCTGGTAGTTGGGGGTTTAACAAGTTGGACTAGTATACCTTGCTCATGAGAACTCTTTTTTTTTTTTGGTCGAAACGATAGCTTTATATTTCATATTCAATTTTTTACAGTAAATGGATAAAGGTTCAATCAAAAGGACAGTAGTCCTACATATGTCAATGATGCATTATTATTTAAGAGTGAGATTAACCCATTCTTTATCTAACCAAATGTTAAGAGCATGCATGCTCAGTTTAATATTATCTACTTTCCCAGAATTAGCAAAAGAGAAAGAGCACTGATGAAACAAATTACAAATGGACTGAATGTCTTCTATAAGAGTAGCAACCCGCCAATTGTTATGTCTTGAATCCATTATGGTTTTCACCAGTCTTCTGTTGTCCAGCTCTACTTTGATGTGCCTACAGCTCTATTTCTGCTGATAAGGACTCGCACAGCCTAATTTTTACATGAAATAAATATTCGATTGCCCTGAAAAAAATAAAGATTTGGTGGATGTCACTATTGGATTTTTAATTATTGATTAACATGTTACTATATTTCACACAAATTAGATATGGAAATATTGAGGTGATTCGTAAATGACCGGCTTTTTCTCCCATTGTGAGAGCATATCTCCTTAGGAGCTCCTTTTACTTTCAACCTATTTTCTAATTCCCAGTGTCTTTTTCATTCTCCATCAATAATTCTCATTTTTCCACTTTTCTAACTTCTTCAATTACTGCTACATCATAGTGGTACCTTTGAAACTTTTCTTTTCACGCAATTCACTCTTCAGAATCTACTATCTTATTACTACTTATTCATGTTATCATAATACTAGGCCTGGTGCCCCGTGAGTTTCGCGGGGTGTCCATTGTTGATTGTTTAATGATAATGTAGGTTATGATTTTAGAGAAATTTTTTTTTAAATTTTGGTTTTTGGTTGTATATTTTTGAATTTTTTAGTTTTTGAAATATTATTGAAGTAATATTTTTGGAATATAGTTAATGGAAGGTAATGGAAAGTGGTATAATTAATTTGTATTTATTAAATAGCTATGGATTTTTTGTTGATAAGTGTTTTATGGTAGTTGCATTTGTGTTATGTTATTTAATTTAAAAATGGAAGAACTTTAAGTTAATAATTCAGTTATTAACTAATATTATTTAAGGAGTATTTTTGAAATAGAGAGAAATTATGTTATATTGTGAAAAATAATTGGTTGGAGTAAAATATATTTTGGAAAAAGTGGAGATATATAAAATGGGTAATAAAAAGGATATAAAAATATATTTATATGTTTTTGTAGCGAAAATAAGTCTGTGTTTGTATTATAGAATTAAAGTTGTGTTTTTAGAGAATAAATATTTTGTTAATAGATATATTGTGGAAGATAAATTATATATAAAGGGTATAGAATTAATTATAACTTTTTTTTGAATAGAAAGAAATTATTGGATATTTTTAGAAAATGGTTGGTGAAATGAATGGAAGTTAAAGATAGATTGGTATAGTTGATTTATATTTATTGGATGTGTGTGAAGTTTTTGTTGATATATATATTTTTGAGAAAATGAATTTTTTATATATATATATATTTTGGGCGAGAAAATGTATGTTATGATTGTTTGATGCTGTTTATATTATCTGTTTTTTTGTTTATATATGTGTGGTTATTATTGCAAATATTTAGAGTGGGCGGTAATGGTAAAATTTTGTGAAGTTGTGTAATGAGAGGAATTTCATATTTGGTGGTAAATTTTTTATTTCATTACATAAATGCTGGATAATTTAGGGGAATATAACTGTTATGTCCAATAAGCTGTAATGAACATTTGTTGATCAGGATTGCTGGATGAAATCTCTGTCAAAGAGGTTGATAGAATAATTGTTTTTGTTGAGCAGGGTAAACAACACGACACTTCCTTCATGCAAGAAATATTTATGTGCAAATGTCGGCCAACCTTCTGTTATCTGCATTCCTTGTAGCGAACACAATTTTAAAGAGTCTATTAGCTCATTGATATGAAAAATTAATCATGGTTGTTAGCTCATTAATATCTATGTAATCATGAAGTCATTTATTTATTGATTAATGAATATGTTACTCAAAATCAATGAATAGTACATGAGCTTCTGTGTTATGGAGAAAAAACACAATTTTAAAGAGTCTATTAGATCATTGATGTGAAAAATTATTAATGCTTGCTAGCTCATTATATTTATCTAATCATGAAGTAGTTTATTTATTAATTAATGAATATCTTATTCAAAGTCAACGAATAGTACATGAGCTTATGTGTTACAGAAATTTAAATTACAATAAGGTGACTCGAGGCATATTTTTTTACAAAATCAATATGTTTGTTAATATATATATTTTGAGTAATTAATTTATTGATTAATGAATATCATAATAAATATAAAAGAGAAGAGAGAATTATAGTTTGAAGAAAGAAAATGGAGGAGAAAGAAAAGGATGAAATTGGGGAGAAAAGCTAACATTTGTGAGTAAAGTCAGGCAACAGCAGAAAATCCAGGAGAAACAAAAGGACAAAATTGGGGACAAAATTACAGACGAACCAGGGGAAAGGGCAGAATGGGAACAAAGCAACAAAAAAAACAACGAGGACAAGCGGAAGCAGAAGCAAGGGCGCTACATGAAAATGTTGGAAAAAGAAGCAAGGGCGCTACATGAAGCCCGCGAAAAGACTAAAAAGGACAAAATGAGCTGCAAAACCACAGCGAAACCGGCACAATCAACTGTTCATCAGGCTTCGCGGCTTTAAGTAGTTTAGATATTGAATAACTGTTACTTCATGGTGGTCCCTTCATTTTTTAATTGCACACGCCGGTAGATTTTGTCATTTAGGATGGTCTAAAAATAGTGAACAGAATATGGTAGCGATAATTCGAATGAATGCAGAGAAATACCTTTAATTGTTTGCAGGGAAGTACCTTTAAGTGTTTCCTTTATATCCAACCAACTTCGGGTTGCGTAGCAGGGCCTTGTTGCGGCCCATCAATTTTCTAACATCCAACAACACATAACAAGGTTTGGCTTTACCTATTGAGTTATCTAGCTAATTATCATCATCTTAGTATTGATATTTTACGAGATTATGTTCAGTTACATTAACACCCACAAATTCGGGTTCTTTTAAGGGAAGGTAACTTCTTTTATTTAGATTTACTTCCATAGAAGATATTGTAGATAACGAAATTTTAATTACTTTAATATTTAATTAGTCTATAAATTATTTTTCATGACTTATTTTTATTCAATTGAATATTACCACATGTCATACACACTTGAAAATTTGGACAATTATATCCCTCCACATGCCAAGTTGAGATGTCCCGACCAATTAAAAATACTAAGATGTCTTCACCAACAAAATTGTGTTATGTCATAGATCCCTATAATTTAGCAAATTATGGATAAATATCTAAAATATATATTTCTTTGTTTAAGAGATAATATTAGAGTTATTTAATCCTTATATATGTCCTATTTACTACAATGGTTCGTCTAGTTTAATTGTGCCACGTTGTATGTCTCTACAATCTTGGCAAATTAAGAAAATACTTATCATCATTATTTCTTTATTAATAAATACAAAATAAAGGGATAATATTCAAGGTGGTGTAGTTTTTATATGACCGTATGTCTTGGAAGACTAGTAAGGTGGTGTATATGTTTTCGGGTTCTACGCCATCCTATAGCTATAAATAGGGGTCTCTGCACCAAAGACACAAGACACATGTCTCTTATCTTCTTGAAGATCCAAGGCTGTGAAAGCTTTGCATCTTCAAGTTCTTCAAGTCCTCTTCATATCGAGACTTGAATCTTCATATTTTCATCATATCAAGGTTTGAAGTCTTCATCGTGTTCATCAAGTTCTTGAAGTCTTCCATATCAAGATTTAAAGAAGTCAACCGTTGATCCAAGAGCAAGTTGCAAAGCCCTTGGATTAATGTTTCAAGAAAAGAATTGAATGAAACTCTCTACAATATTGAGAAAATCCTGAAAAATTGTGACTCATATCTTTTCTAAATTCATATAACTTATATTTGTTGCATATTTTTTTTTTGTAATTTTCTTGTGGATTTAAAATTTTATCGCGTACAAATTTTTGGCATAACCGGTGGACCATTTCTACCTTCCATCTCTTCTCTTCATATATTTGATTGCATATATCAATCAATAGCCCCAAAGAATGAAAAATCCATGGCTACTCGCTCCAAGGCTTTTGATGCCAAATTTGCTAATGAGCTTGTATATGTTACTACAAATCCTTGTATTGTTGAACCAATAACAAGGAATATGACAAGAGCTCTCCCTCAAAGTAGCCTGGAGACTCCCTCTCCATCAACTCATATCTTCGGTTCAATATCACCAAAAATCTTTCACCCACATTGGGTCTCAAGGATTTTTTGGTTTCAATAGAGAAGACTCTTGCAATGCTTGAGATTGGCTCTGGATCTAAATCTTTGAAGTAATGATGATGACCTGTCAAGTATTGCATCGATATCCTCCCATGGAACTCCACAATTGAAGCTTTCTGTTGAATGTTCTACTACCTCTGCTATTTCTTCTATGATGCCTCTCATGATGACAAACACTTCAAATTTGGAAGAGCAAGTGACAAACATATACAAGATGATGGAAACAATGATGAAACATATCAAGGACCAAGATGTTTTCATCACTTAGCTCCTCAACAAGAAAGACAACATCCCTGAAAGAAGTTGCATGAACTTTAAGGAACAACAAGAATTTGAGACTTCATCATCCAAAGGAAAAAACAAAGTGAAAAAAGTGCAC